CACAGCACTGCTTTGTGGCGCACTCACCTGTGTGGAGGTTGCCGTGTCAGAAGCCAAATCCACGTCTGTCTGGTCACACTCCGAACTGTCGTACCTGCAGACGTTGTTGAGGAGAGTGAAAAGTGGGTGTGGTTGGTGGTTGGTTTGAATTTCATTGAGCATCGCGTAGTTGAGGACTTCACAAAAGTGGAGAGGGTTGATGCGCGTTCGGAGTTGTTATGATGCAGGTGGTAGTGTGTCGTTGTGAAGGGTAGTTATTTAGGCGTAGTTTCGTTTGAATGGTCTTCGTTGATGTTCACCACAAGGCGATCGTGTGTCGCCGTGTCCGAGGCTCTCCTGGGAGTCGTAAATGCCCATGTGGTGAGTGAATTTGCGTCATCACTATGGTATGCGTGGTGCTAGTATTGCAATTCTATACCACGGCACATTTAGTTTGCCCGTTCTGTTTTCTAATATAATATCGGTTAATTTTTTAATCCATGGGTTTGTGGTCCGTCCCAGGGACAAATTTAATCACGAGCGATTACGTGTCGTTATGATCATTATACAAATTTCCTTTTTAAGTTGCAACTTTTATTCGTGTTTCCTTGATTGCTTCCCAATTTAATTTGTTGCTGCCGTAAACAGACGGCTGTTGTTTATTGTTTGGCATAGTGGAAGCAGCTCATAATTCATGTCATTCCTCCTGAAATCCCATCAACCTGACAGCATGACCCGCCATTGTGGGGCCATTCAACAACTTCCAGTGTGGTTTGTCGTGTTATTTTTTGGCACAAGCGCCAGCCCAGCGGTCGCCGTCGATGTCATTTGGTGGTCGTCGGTACCCAGATTGCCCGTATTTCGTAAACTCGAGTTTGAGAATGTGGAATGAAGAATTTGCCTCCCAGACGCCCCCACACCACTTCGTCAAAGCCGCAAACAACGAGAATGACCTGACTTACGCCTCAATCACGGTAGGAATGTTCCCAGCACCACACAAAACGTACTCACACGGTTTGTCAGTCTTTCAAGACATAGCTCGTAAACTTTGCATCAGAAACACTTGTACCCGACTTCGGTGTTGGTGCGGCTGTCACATCACTGCTAATCATATGCCTGTGCGTAGGCTGTTTTATCGCCTCTGTAAGGGAGACTATTTGAAAATTGGGTGTACAATTGCGTGTGTGTGTGTGCGTGTGTGAATGGACTGCCTCACTGGTCACATGTGTGTTCGTTTATGGGCGTGTGCGCACACGTAGGTGCACCTGAGTGTATGCAAATGTGTCTTCGCTTTTGTGTGTTTCCTGGTGCATACGTGTGTTTGTCCATGTGTTTGGGTGAATTTATCCAATGCTCACACCCTGCTGATTTGTGCGCCTAAGTTGACCGTTAGCAACGTGCCATTGAATAGCCACTATACGGCTCACCCTTTCATGTATTGCCTGCTTTAAACCATCCACGTAATCATGACTGGCTGGTTAGTAAAAAAAGCTGATCCAATCTTACCGCATCACGATGCTGTGCTACTCGACTTTTCCCTTTACAAGAAATCAGTAATCCATGCACTACCCAAGTCACGCATATTCCTTTGAAACTGTGAGATTATGAAGCGTTTCGACACGATTTCGCGCCATGTCCTTATTCGTGTCAATAGTGTTTTCCTTCTAAATTACTGCCTGTTTTGAATCAATATGCCTGAAGTCACCGTGTGGTGGTTTGCGGTCGTCAACCGAAAGCCTCATCTCCTCTATCCGTTGAGGTATTAACCTTCTCGACGCTGGATAGGTGTCGTGTACACACGAGTGTTGAAACTCTTGGTATTTTGTTTTCATTATCTTAACTCTGGTCTTCATGTGTCACGCGCACACAGCATGCAGGGCGCGGCGTGTCAGCGCTCAAATCACGTTTTTGCACGCAACTACGTGTTTTGGGTGTTCTCTCATCGTCTTGTGTCACGACACCACCGAAACCGCTGACTGCGCCTGCGCTCAGGCGCACAGCACGACTAATTGAGGGGTCGTGGCATGGCTGACATTTCCAGGACTCCCGACTTGAATGTCCACGCTGACGCATTCGTCGGCTAGGCCTTGACGCAGTGGTAGCCACTTAAAGGTGTAGTTTGACGCGACCTCCGACCACGCACTACCAGGTTGTCCCTCGTGGGTGTTTTCCCCACCTGTGCAAATTTGGTTCCAGCCGGCGCGAACGGGTGTTGCGTGGTGGTATTTACGGCAACGACTCGTCCTTCGCCCTATTTACCAATACCGTGCGTGCGTGTGTGTGTGTGCGTGCGTGTGTGTGTGTGCGCGCCTAGGAAGGTCGACATGCTGTGGCAAACCCCTCTTGACTATTGCCGCCTCTGCCGTCATCGGCGTGTTGCGTGCGTGTTGTTTCGTGAGCGTCGCGTCACACACACACACACACACTCGCGTACTTGCCATCAGCAAGTCTATTGGTTGGTCTATCGGTCTTTTTGTCGGCGACCTTGACGCGGCCAACCGTTTTGCCTAATCCCTTCTGTCGTCCGTAGGACCTTTTGCGACCAGCCTGAATGGCGTTCCTTAAGACAAAACAATGTTTCAGGTTGTAGTGTTGTTACGCTACGGCGATTTCTATTTGCCGTGTTGATTGGGGTTTAGCGAATTTTATCATTGGTAAGGTTAGTGCTGTTTAGTTGAGGAAAACATTTTCTTTCAACTTCTCAGGGAGGCCGCTAGGGAGTGTCGTCGTAAGAAGAAGGAGTACGTGCGCTGTCTTGAGCGTCAGGTGACCATTCTGCAGAACCAAAATCACCAGCTCATTGAAGAGTTGCAGAAGATGAAAGCACTGTGCGCGGGGGCCCTGCTCGACCCCTCCGGGCAACCGCCGCAGCTTCAGGGCGCACCGAACCTTGCCAACAGTCGTCATCTCGGTGGCGACGACGGAGGCATGGATTTCGTCGACTCGGCGCATCGCAAGCCCCGCCTACCCCCATCACCCCAACGAGGTGACGGCAGCGGCGGACGAAACAGCTACCATGCATCGGCGTCGTCCACGTCGTCCGCGATTATGGTGGACTCTGGCGACTCCTCTGTGGTTCGCCAACTCCCCAACGAACTCACCCTCCTCAAATCTCCGGTCTCACAGGCCCAGCAGCAACAGCAGCAGCAGCTGTTGCTGCTCCAGGGTCTCTCTGCCTTGAAGGAGAGAGGTGGCGGTATGCGCAAGAACGAGGAGAACAACTACCCTCCCCAAGCCGCCGTCACTGGTGGTGGGTGGGCCGACCAGAAACCAAAATTCCCCGCAGATGACTTGGACACCAGACCTCCGTCGTCATCTCCCCACATTCATCCCGTTAAGAGAGCCTTGAAGAGATTCGGCAATGAACAGCACCGGCTATCTCAGCAACAGCAAGCCTCGGGCAAGCCAGATTCCGACAAGACTCACTAAGTTGGGCGGGGCGCGTCTGCCCCACACCTGACCGGCTTCTTCAAACTTATATATATAAATATGTATATGTACATGCACCATGCCTGGTTTTGATGTTGTTCGAATGGAATCGCGTCATCACCCACACACGCACGCACACACACCCACCCACCCACCATATCTCAGGTTGATTTCGCTTCACCAGTAGGATCTTGCCTGTTTTCATTCATCTTGCCACCTTCCTCATATGTGCGTGTGTGTGTGTGTGAGTGTGATTAAGCTTCGTATCTCTTGTGCTCAGCGTCTTTCATACCACACCTTTGTCACCCAAATCCAGAGCGCCATAGCTATGTGTGCGTGTGTGTGACCTTGGCCGCCATCCAATCATCGCCCCGTACGCGCGTGTGTGTGAGCAGTAGCGTTCTTATTCAGGGAAATCGTCATGCAATCCCCGGCAGGGAAGTTACGCGCAGTGCCAGTCTTCGTGCCTCAACACTCACAAACATTACACACACACGCACCCACCGACCGACCGACTTGTGCCGCCGCTATTTTGTACTTGCCCCCCTCCGCTCTCCCCCTTATTTTTCTCCCACCATCCCCTCTGTAATATGATACTGCCACTACCACTACAAGAGTACACACGTATATTCAGCTAGCTCTCGCTATCGCGAGATTCGTACGGCCCGTTCGTGGACCGCCGTGCTCCAACCACTCCCCCCATGTCCGCGCCAATTTTATATCGTACAGCCACACCGACCTCTAATAATGCTATTATCGTGTGTAACCCCATCGTTCCTACTTTCAAAGTGCCATAAGGTAAATTACCTCTCCTGTCTTTTTTTTCTACTAAATTCGTTGCATCCCATTGCCGTGATTACGCATCAGATGCGAGTTACTTCGTGGTATCACGTGCGACCGATGGAAGGCTGTTGACTGAACGCAGCGTTTAGACAGCCGGTTGTCTGGGGGTGTGTGTGTGTGTGCATGCACCAGGAATATTAATCACCTCGTGCTGTGTCGTTTGAGGGATTGCGAAACTCAAGGAGTTGGATGTCGTGACGCGTATGTACCATAGATTACCTCGGGGATCGCACGGATGACGATATGGCCCTCAATTAGATGTACACGCACTGCATTCCGATTGACCAATGAGGACTCGTTTTTATTCTTAGCATTTGAGCAATTGACTCTACTTGGTTAGCGTGCCCCCTGAAGTGCGGTAGCTCGTTTAGAAGTGGAATGTAGTCGCTTGCAGTGACCATCTACCTAAAGATCTTACCCATGGGGCGAACAGAAATGAAACAAATTGCTTCTTTTTTCGCACGTAGCCCTCATCGTGGTACTGCTCGTAGCAGCCTACATTGATTCGATGTACAAGTAAGCGAGGTTCCAAAAATTAAAGAAATGTGAACGAGAACCCCGTGTACGCCCATGAGGACGGCGATTTGGAACAGTCGATTTTATCGATTTTCTGTCTTACTGTATTACACAGCCTTCCCACGCCTCATTACTCATGCCTTGGATGTTTTTAATGTTGGAGATTGGATTAGTGAGGTTGAGTACGCTATTTGGTATGTTGATACAAATAATGCATCACCCACTTCTGTACATGTTCTGCAGTCGTTTGCTCACACGATTGGTGCGATACTGTGACCACGAGATCTCCAAAATACGCCCACGCGTGCACGCTTCGAGCTGATAAGCTGGCGCGCACGTCAAACAGGCCACTCATGCAAGCGCGTTTTAGACGTCAACACATTCGCACGGGTAGACGTGCACTTCTCCCGGCTACACCAGTGTGTGTGTGTGTGTGCGAAGTGGAGCGCGCACACTTCAATTATTAACTCGAGCGAGTCACATGACACCTGTTTTTCGCCAAAAAGGCGGGTGCAACACGCGGCAGGATAAATAAGCTGGACTCATCACACGAGGGACAAAGACCGGTCGCTGCCGCCCCTGGTGCCTTGATGACAAACCATTAATTCCGATTACTCAGTTTCCACCTTAGAACAGATTTGTGTGGTAAAACCTGGAATGTAACGATGACTGTGCACGCACGGTGTCGCTGTTATTTGATTAGCAAACAGGGTATCCAATTTAGATTTTCTTCGACCAATGGGTATCGAGTTGAAAGGCTCCAATCATTGCACTGGTCTTTCATATCGGTTAGTTTAGTTCATACAACCAACTAGGGGCTAACCTCAAATCCTAATTTCTAGACTAAACCTGTTAATTGACGTATCACAAGAAATTTAGAAAGACGGTGTGAAACAGTGAAACCACTGTCGTCATAAGCGCCCGTAGAATGACAATGGGGTGTGTGTGTAAGTGTGTGCGTCATAATGACGTGGATCTAAAAGTTACCGGAAACGGTAGCCATAGGCACTCAAGCAACTTACCGTCACTTCAGACGTGTCTGAGTGCGTAAAAGTAAAGACAGTCAAATTGAGAACCAATTCTACTTTTTACCAAAACCAGTAGAGCGTTTGGAAGTGACGGGTGCGGTAACTCATGTTGCCACACGACAGTGGCGGGTAGTATTCTCTTTTAATAAGACAGATTAAGTAGAAACATTTCGTGACAGAATTGGAAATGGTAGTTTCAGTCCTATCTGCCACGTGCCAAAGACATTCTGCCGTCTCAGTGTTATCGAAATTGCCGCCAATTTCCCATTGGCTCAGCAGCAGCAGACATTCTATCAAATTAGTGACAGTGCTAATCAGCACATTGCTAAAAAAACTAATCGAATGAGTCAAAACATTTTTTTTAAACTAAAAAAAACTAAAAAACCAACTCAGCCACAAATTAGCAAAAAGGTCAACTAAAGTAAAATAGAGAACGTCCTTTCTGCATCAAGTCTGCTAATTGCAGCATTTAATGAGTCAAGATTTAAAAACTATGGTAATTTTAAGGGATACGAAAACACTCTACATGTACCACTGTTAATTCCCTTCTTTGTTTGAATGTGAAACGAGTACTTAGCCAGTGACTGGTTGTGAAAACAGTAAACAACATTATTTTTAAACGAATACTTTGGTAATCGGATTTCGGCACATTATAATCGAGTTCAATGCATAATTTGGAGGATTTTGTAGCAAATGCGAATGACCAATAAAATTTACTTTAAAATATTTCAGGTACCAAGCATAAACGGACGTCGACTTCTAAAGTTTGCGATGGATGTCTTAATTTGCTACCAACACTGAACTTTAGTAACGTGTAGTATTAAAAACAAATTTCATAACTGTAAAGTGGAACGATTTATCCTTCTTGATTAAATATGCAGGGACTCGATTTCGACAAGTAACTTTCCATTTTTCGATTTAGACGGGATAGGCTGTAGACATTGCGCGCCACTTTGTCAAATTCTGATTGGCTATTGAGAGACCGCGTCGATTTACGTGTTTACGGCAAAATCCTCTCAGAGCTAATGACCTTGGCCTAATATAGTGACGATTGCGCAATAATTGCCCACCAGCTAGCTCTTCTCATAACGTCACGATAACGCAGTGCGGATACATCATTATAAAAAAGTAAGGCATTTACCTTTCTACGACGAAAGTCTTTCAAGCGCCTTACAAATTTAATTGCCTAGTCCAAGGCAATACTCCATAACACAAATCGATGTACATAAGGAGTGAATAGTCCGCCTTGATAAAAATCATTTTGTTGGTCAGTTATCATGCCAGAAAGCCCTCCAGAAAATTCTTTACCTCGTAAAAAAATTGTAAAAATATCATGATTTTTTGGATGTGCACCTTAAAGTTGCCACAGTAACGACTATGCGAAACGTCGGCTCAGTGTAAAATCGATTTTTATTGATTTGCATCTTACGGATACGCGCGACCAACATGTCTACTGCACAAATTTAGTATTTTAAGTCGAACTTTTGGGTACGCATTAGTGGTTAGGCCGGGAATACAGATTCGTGTATCGTTTGTTTATTAGTGCTGGCTCACGTTGTGCTTACGGCTGATTGGTTAACGGGTTGCCTGAAGGAATGTTTTCGTTTGATTAGTGCGGGCGCACAAGAATTTCAGTGCTACTAGAACGTGATTCCTACCTCCTGTTCTTGTTTATTTTTCAGCAAAATGGACTAAACTACAAAATCGGTATATATAGAGACGAATCTTTGTCACGATATCCCCTTAGATATGGTCACATTTCAATTAAATAGCGTGCACGAGGTCCTTTCACGGAATGTGCTGGTATGGCGGTACAAAAAAGAGAAGTGCCTGCCTATTCAATTACTAAGAAAACTGACAGAATT